AAACTGTTTCTCAGTGACTTGATTTAGACTAGAACAACAACGTGTACAACATAGACTGAGACTATAATAAGACCAGGACCTGACAGGAATCTTTGTGGACTCTTCTCAGATGAATCGGACTTCAACTACAAACCTCTCAGATTTGACTCAGGATCTCAACTCAAGCTTCCTCATCTCCTGTGACAAGGTTGATAAAAAAACCAAACTGATTGGACGGAGTTTGAACTTTTTTTTATTGAATAGGAAAATAAAGTTCAAACCATTTCACGGACGTTTGAACTTTTTTTTATTAAATAGGAAAATAAAGTTCAAACCATTTCAGGGTTTAAGAGTTGGAGCCTGGAGCACTGGAATCAAACCACTGCTCTTTTTAGTGTAAGGCAGGGACACTAACCACTCCACCACCGTGTTCCTGTGTCTTTTGTAAACAATAGACACATATCGCACGCCTCGTGTTTATACAAGGTATGAACACATGTATGTGGCGTCCTGGCGACCGTCTGATTGGTGGAGTTTGTCCTGGTGGTGGTGAGAGGGATCCTCAAGATAAAAGAAACACAATCAGCGCGACGTGCCCTACCCTCGCATGGCTGGAGAGATTGAACCTATTTCATCTCGTCAGTGGGCACAGGCTGCTTGGCGCCGACGTCTGGCGGATATCCTTCCCTTATCATGTGACCTGTGATCTGACAGGGGGCAAAGGTTGCCTGCAATCCGCCCCTGTGTCTTAATAACTCACTCATTGTATTCCTTTCTGCCGCTAATTAGAGCCTCCCTCTCTCTCCCTCTCGCTCACTCACTCGCGTTGTCTGTGTGTGTGTGTGTGTGTGTGTGTGTGTGAACGTATTGCCCTCTGGGCTGCAGAGGGGAGGCAGAGATGTAAAAATAGAGTGTGGCTTAGTGCCCTCTTTATTGTTATTAGTGCTCCAGTGGCACAGCAGTCAGTCATCAGTGATGCCAAGAACTGACATGTTCTCTCTCTCTCTCTCTCTCTCTGCCTCTCTCTCTCTCTCTGCCATGGAAATGACCAAACAAATGGCTGCCGATGAGATGAGCGAATAACGAGGGGACGATTTCCTTCCTTTCTGTTTTTTTTCTCGGGGTCATCTGTCATCAGTGTCACCTCTCAGGCCTGTGTAATAAACCTGCGTGTGAACAGTAACATGTATGTGCGTGTTTGTGCTTGTTGTGGTAAATAACAGCAGGCTTATGTGTGTGTGTGTGTGTGTGAGCCAGCGAGGGCATGTCGTGCTGGGTTTGACGCTGAGACATGAAATGATTCGGTCAGGCCCCATTTAGCCCAGACTGATAGCAGGACCAGCCAGAGCTGCTGATGCAGACAAATACTCGGCTACGTACTGTCAACTGTAAACATTTTTTTTTTAAGCGTGCCGACACCTGACTCTGCCGTTTCACCTACTTCACTGCCCCCCCGCCCCACCACCACCACCACCCCGCTCCCTGAAAAGCATACACGTGACACGGCCCTCACCTCAACCCTCACAATCTTAAACAAATGCAATCATGTGACGGACCACTCCCCAATTCTGTTAACACGACGCCAGTCGTCTCAAATGTAAGCAGAGCAAACATGTGCTGCCTAATGGTCAACTAATGGTGTCCGGGCACACTGTACACACAGACACACACACAGCAGAACCGTGTGCCATTAGAAATGACGCGCGGAGTGCACGATTAACAGCACGATCAGGCCTCGTCCTCATCTGCTCAGCCTCAGCACAGTCAGATGGTGGACTCTGACCTTGTCCTTTGTGCCTTATTAACGTCAAACAGCTAATGGGGTGTGGGGCTACAAACAGGTGAGGCTGTGAGCTAATGACACGGCCCTGATACAAAGAAGAAGCAGCTTCGCAGTAGCCGACAAAAGGTTTGAATGTTTGTTTTTTACCAACTGGGTTGTGTTTTGTCCTGGATCTGCAGGAACTACGGGTTGGAACTGGCTCCAGCTCTGATCTGCTTCACTGTGAAAAACGTTTCCGTTCGTCAATCTCTAAATAAACAAATAAGACATAAACTGATTTTGCGGTGACAAAACAGCACTTGGTGATAAGAGTACTCTCAAACTCTGTCAGTGGTGTCCTGTTTAAAAAAAACAACCCACATTCTGTTTAAGTCCCGTGTCTGACAGGTATGACTGAGCTGCAGGTAAGTCTAGAGAGCGCTGTCACGTGGGTCCTACGGTCTGTGGAGCTGTGACGGGGCAGGAGGGAAGAGAGCGAGATGCACTGTCTATTGACTGCCACACAGAGCACCCTTGTGCCCTCGCCGGGCCGCGATTGTGCCGGTGGACAAAGCCCTGATTCAGCACATCCTTTCCCCGAGGGAGAGCTCTGGAAACCGAAGACGACAGCCATTCCCCTCTCTCCCCCCATCCACTCATCCTCTGCCTCTGTCTCTCCCTCCCTCCCTCCCTCCCTCTCTCCCCTGGTTTTATCTCTCTGCTCTCCCTCTCTCTCTGGACGGTAACATGGCAGCAGCCGTGCATCAAAGAGAACTACAGAACAATGCAAAGGACCAGCCAGGAATTTGATGACCTTTTTTTTTTTTACTCAGGCATTTCACAGGGCAGACGACTGTCATATCCATCACAACACTTCCTGTAACTGCTACAGCAAGACAAAGAAATGTTTAACACAGGCTTCAGACGCCTTCTTCAACCTGTCTTCATCCAACCTGTTCCTGTTAGCTACTCCAAACCTTAAACTCTGCTTCAGGTTTTTGTTATCTCAACAATTTTTCAAAATATTTTTTACCTAGATTTTTTAGCCGTAACTGAAGATAACATTTGAAATGGGTATGCTAAAATGTAGTTCTTTTTGGATATCAGGGAGCTTTTCATTTCAAATGAGCTAATGTTTTTATTATATTTCTTGGCTAACACTCATGTAGCTGGTGCTTGGCTATATATATTCGCTAGCTGTCTCTGATATACTTTAAGCTAACTTTTGGGCATACAGTTAAACTTCTAGGTATTTATCCTAAAATTGACCTGCATTTTATAAAACCGCAATTTAGGGGGCAAACATTGTTAAACACTTTTAAACTTTACATTTTTTTCAAGCCCTTTTGCATTTTATAAACTGCATTTCAGGGGGCAAACATTGTTAAACTTTACATTTTTTTCAAGCCCTTTTGAAGCTTTACCTTCCTGACCCTCGCCTGTTCACTCACTGTGGTAAAGCTAACCATGTAGCGGCCTGGAACAGTGACAACAACCAGATTGTAACAGACCTCCACTTCCTGAGTGTAACCGTCTCTAACAACTTCATTAGTGAAAATCAAATCAGGGTGTGTTTTTGTGAACACAGACGGTGTAACATGAATACACCGCTGCGTCTCCTCTTCACTGTATACGCTCGCGTGTGTGGACGCCGCGTTCGTGAGGTTGTTAGCCTGCGCTAGATTCTTTCAGACCTCTTTATAAATGGATCTGAGACCTTTCAATGCCGGGCTTGGATTTCATGGCCTCTGGGAAGCCGAGGACTCATCCTATATCTATATCTATCTCTGTCTACGTCTCTGTCTATTTCCCTCTCTCTCCCTCTCCTCCCAGGTTAGCAGACTATTTCTGCATTAATCACCATGACACAGGCAAGGCAACTCAATTTTCTGCTCCTGTAGGTAAGGTGCGTGGCGTCCCGAAACGGTGGCACGAGGCATGAAACAGGCGAGCGGGGGCTAATCTTTGGTTACTGGTGTAATTGAAATGCTATCCACACTGTAGGGTGCATTAAAGTCTGATAACAGCAGTTCCTGTGGCCAATTTAAGTAGCCTGACTACCCTTGGCTAGAAGGAAATAAAGCAAAAAGAGGGAGAGGGAGGCGAGGGGAGAGGGAGAGGGAAAGAAAGAGAATGTCAGCTTGGAGCTAGGGGGAGGTTGTGCAGTGTTGGGGAGGGCTGATAGATAAGACCCCGACAAACCAGGCTAATTCTCCAGGCATGTTTCTCATTGTGATCCAGGAAAAATGAGAAAAAAATGAATCACAGAACCAAAAAAAATCAATTGACCCTCGGGTGGCTTGTCAGGGCTGTGAGTCTGATAAACCTAAAAGCTTCGTTAATGTCGGCCTGCCTGTACCTAACAGATAGAGCACTTTGTAAATGAACCCGCTTTGATAAATATATTAAGGAAAGCTGTGAATAAAAGGCACAGACTTGTCATTTGTAAATAGAAGCCCCCGCTACATGGAATTAGAATGATAAAATGGGGCTCCACATAATTAAGTTTGTGTAAGACCTGAAATCCGTGCAAATACCTTCCCCCGAAATTTGAAAGGAAGCTGTCAGTTCAATTAATCTGAACATCACCCTGAGAATGTAGTGAACAAAATTAAGCTGCAGATAAAACCTGGGCTAGTATTTTGATAAGTAATTCCTGTATCATTTCTTTGCTTCTGTGATCATTTTATTTAATCCACCACCCCCAGTTATGTGCTAAGCCATCTACAAAGGCCCTGCTGGCCAGGCCACCAAAACCTTAATCCACCATATTGCTTGTGTGAAATGGGAAGAAAGGGGGTGGAAGGATGTTTTTGCCTTTTGTGGTGGTGGCACCAGAGCTGGAGCTAGGTATGGTTTAGTATGGGGTGGGTGTGGGGGCTCAAGGGTATGATCTCTGTCTTTCTTTCTTTCTTCCTTTAAATATAAATACATGCATCAAACCACAAACAGCACTGACTTAGCCTCAGAGCAGTGTGAAGATAACAGCGGAACATCCTGCTGTCGCTTCAACATAATAATAATGTCACAAAGGTTGTCTGCGTGTTTGTGTATATGTCGACGACGCGCTTCCTTCTCGCCGTGTTTGTGTGTGTGGCTACATGTGACAGGGAGGGCTGTACATAAATGGTTTTCACACTTTAGGAGCATTAGCCATCTTAGCTGGTGGGGAGAGGGAGGCGGAAAAAGGCTTTTGAGAATGAGAAGGCAGGGTGACGCTGGCGGTGGAGATAGGAGCAGAGAGGAAATCTTGACTCACCAGTTGTTTACTTGTAAGATGGTGAGGCCTGTGTCTTGGGCTAGCTGCTTCTTCTGCTCTTCAGAAGGGTATGGGTGCTGCGGGAGAGGGAAACAGAGGAAAAACAAACACACACATGAGCCTTTGACACACACACACACACTGATTTACATAAATGTTCACACACTGAGAAAGGCTGGCAAAAGAGAAGACAAAGTCAAGTCCCTGCTGTTGTCTATGACTGTGTACTATTTATTCAATATGTTCCTGCGTTTGTTGTATTGTGTAACCTGAGACTGCACCTACTCCTGACCTCCACCCAACCCTGCCCCTCCTTTGCATGGAAAACACACTCACAGCTCACACGTGTCCACCCACCCACACACACACCAACACACACACACACACACACACACACAAAGAAAGAGAGTTTAGTGTAAAACCTGCCAGAGCCAGCCAAACTAGTTTGTCAAAACTGTCAACAGTGATAACCCCTGTTTCTCTTCTCACTCCACCCACCCACCCACACACACACATCGCACACACACACACACACACACAACAACGTTCAGTGAACATATGCATCTCACTCTTATTCCTACTCACTGACAAACAATGCAAATCGTCCGTCCTGTGAACATGTTTTTTATAATTCCCGATGACAGAGTGGGCGCAGGTTTGTAGTAGTGAATACATCTGTCTTTCCTCTGACATGTTTCCTGGTCATGGCTCTTTCATAGAAAGCAGCTAAATATAAATGAATGATAGAACAGGGTCTGAATAATGGAGATGGATTGTGAGTAGAACAACAGTCTAATGTTTTAGTTTTTTTTAGCGGCGGCAAAAGACTAAACGTACTTTTGCTGATTTTTTTCACAGAAATAACGTACTTGTTGACCCATATGTAGCTTCATAGACACGTTGTTTTCACCACAACCTAAAGTATCTGGCCTGACAGACTACAGGAGGCTGTGAAGGTAGGGGTCATCTGTTTGTTCCAACAATGTGATAATGTAACTCCGATTTAATTGTATCAAATTAAACCAGACTGTCGACTTCAGTAGAAACGAGCAGTGTGTTCCAGTCAGCATGAGAACAGACCTTCACCTTCACTACATTCCTCAAGTGTCAGTCCAAACACTTTAGAGAGAGAGAGACAGAGAGACAGAGAGAGCACGCAGGAAATTCCTAATATTGCCACATTTCTGTTAAACCAACCAATCATTTAAATTTACGACAACTCAAACTTCAAATCAATTTGAAATGAACTACGTCGAGTGTACATGAAGAAAACGGCCAGTTCCAACGCAGGCTAATAACTTTTAATTTTTGTATTTCAGGAGGTGAAGTCAGTCAAATAAACTTGCTCAATAAAGCTTTCGTGATGATTTAAAAAGAATTACGTCTTCTTTATTCTCATAATTCCCCCCCCCCCCGATATATACGTGTGCAATCAAACACACACACGCACACACGCACGCACATGTGTGCGCACACTTAGACACATAGTCAGGAAGCTCATAAAACTCTGCAGCTGCACCAGCCAAGGAAATGTCAGCGCCTGGCAATCAGAAAATGTATTTCTATTCAAGCATTATCATATTTCCTTTGTTAATGATGTTAGCATATTAAAAGAGACAGTGTACAACAGTACACATCAGATTAATCCTTCCGTTTACAGCCAGGACTCATTATTTGTCCAACGTCAGCCTTGTTTGTTATTAATTGAGCACATTCCTCCGGCCGTATGTTTTATTTCTGCTCCACCTTCCCTTTAATTAAAACTGACTACGTTTAGACAACACTGCTACCTGAAAGGAGCAAACGTCCCTCTCTGCTGATAGGAAACCTCACTTACATCAATTATCTCAGCAGTAAATGAGAAAATAGTTCTTGAGCGGCCGTTATCGCTTCCATTTCAAATTGAATTCACTAAACGTGGGCCCGGCAGACATTGAAATTTTGCTTTCTCAATTAGCACGGAGACAGGGGGAAATCACGGCTCTGAGGCTGGAGCTATTTCCCCTTGAAGGGAAGGAATGTGTGTTAATGGTGCTTGAAACCACCTGAAAACCGTGGGATTAAATTTCTGTCATTTAAAAAGACTTTTTTTCTTGTGAGCGCGCAGTCACTTGCAGGTGTTGTGTCTGTACGAGCGTGGGTCCGCACGTGTTGTCGTGTGCACGCCGAGCTCCAATGCATGTGTGATGTCTGCGTCGGGCCGTCGACTGAAACACATAGTGTCTCATTTGTTTTGTTTGTATGTGTGCCTGGACTCCTAATCTGGCCCTTAAAGACATCTGTCACCAGCGATCACTGTTGTTTTGTCATGCTTCATAGCCGGCCCAGAGGGAGCGAGGCGGACCAAGGTCTGCCATTTATATCAGCATGCCTTCTCTAGATTGGACTTGACACAAATAGTATCACTGCAGCGCCACTCGCAGAATTACATTTTCAGGTAAAAATCTAAACAAGGAGAAGGAGATTCCACCAAATTCTTTCTTGTCACTGATGTCAAAGATAAAGCTCTGGGGCCAAGAGTGGCCCACGAGGAAGCCTCACCTGGTCCACACAAAATAAATAAAAAGCGGTTAACATCGCTCAATTGGAGCATAGTCACACATTGTATGAAAAAAGTAGTTTTTTTTTCATTTTCTGCATTGCTTGTCACTGATGTCAAAGATAAAGCTCTGGGGCCAAGAGTGGCCCACGAGGAAGCCTCACCTGGTCGTTTCATTCACGCCTCATTTGTGAATTTTTGTTGTTGTTTTGCGTTCCATTAAATTATTTTAGTTTCACTATGCAAAACACAACGCACTGGAGTGAACATTATAATAGTGTGGGAAAACACAAACAGTTACCTGTTACTGCTCCTCCTCCTCTGAAGTGGTCACATTAACTCTGACCCAGGTCACAATTAAAGTCCCACGCTTTCACACATAGACGCTGCACAAACATATTCACACAGAGGAGATGCGGCTGCAGATGATGTGATACGGAATGAAGGCGTGTGCAGTGTGAGGAGGAGCAGCCCAGATTGGAAATGGGGAGTGGGTCATTTACATTGTATTAAGGCTTCCTCAGCCTCTCAGGCCCAGACCGGGTCATCAATCCCCTACTGTCAGCCAGAGCTGGAGCACGGGCTGCAGCTCAGGTGATAGATATGAGAGCCAGCGGCAAAGCTGGTGCAGCAGCAGCAGCAGCAGCAGCAGCAGCAGCAGCAGCAATGTAACGAATGCTTTGAACAAACAAGAACGATGTCTTATCAAGGAGAGTGGGGACGTTAATGCCTCTCTCTCTCTCTCTCTCACACACACACATGCACAAACACACACAAAACCCCCTGACTTAGGAGATTTGATCTGACCACATTGACTGGATACTAAAAAAAATCCGATTTAGTTCTACTCATACCCCTCTTACCCCCCCCCCCCCCCACCCACCAAACACTTTTGTTTAGAACCCACACCCGGATGATCCTGGTCAGAAATACTGGTTGATATTAACCTTCAGGAATCATACCTTTAAATGTTGGGTCATTTTAAAGTGATATAAAAAAAACAATGGCTTCATATGATGCATTTTTAAAACAAAATAGTTTTATACAGCAACCATAACTGATAATAAAATTATTTATTTCTCTCTTTTTTTTGGGAAATCTAAGACACACTGAAGCTGTTTTTTCTTCCTATTAAAACAACAGAAGAAGAAACAAGATTTGGACTTTTATTCTAGAATAAATGACGTGTTAATATAATTATAATAATGCAACAGCAGCTATGCTTCTTCCCCCTCCAACCCCCCTCAGAGTTATAACTGTGTACATTTGAACGTCTGTGACTGTGGCCCACCCACCGTCTTCTCTGTGGCAGCTTCCTTTAAAGTAAGGTGCACTGAAATCTCAGCCCTGCATAAAATGGTGTGTGGCAGCGACTGCAACACACACACAGTTACACACACACACGCACACACTGAATCAAGCTGCCATGGTGAGCTTAGTGGTTACAAGGCTGCAGGAGCTGTGAAATTGAAGAACAGCCATTTAGACCTCAGAGTAACCTCTTAATGTTAATTGCCTCAGTAAAAAAAAGAAAAAAAACATCTTCATAAATCAACCACCAAGCACAAAAAAAAAAAAAAAAAAACCTGATATGAAAACAGATAACGTGAGATGAATCTGTAGGCAAAAAAAAAAAAAAAAAAAAAAAACAGAATTTAAAATCTGCTGTAATGTGTTTCTTCCTAGAGAGACGTCTTTCCTGCCCTGGGGAGACGCTACGACATGGTTATTTAATGGATGAAACACAAACAGTGAGCCAGATCAAAGATGGTATTGATAACCTCCCTGCTTGCTTTGGGAAACGCTCAATATGTTCAGTTACAAACACCAAGGCCAATATCTCTTAAAAGAGGATTGACTGCAAAAGGTAAAAAGGACGGGTCTATAAATAATTAGAGCCTTGGAAGCGGCAGATTCAATTTGCTGGCGAGGACGGCGGCCGCTCTGTTAATTATGCTGGAGGCTGTTAATGGCAGCAGCATCCCGATGCACACGACGTAAACACACAGACAAAGCACAGGTGCATCATGGTCCTGGACGTGAGTTGTGTGTGTGTGTGTGTGGGTGTGTGTTTATGGAACAGCTGGACACATTACGGGCCGCGATGCTGCCCCCGTGCTGCCTGCTGGATGTAATGGCCTGTGTGGTTAGTGAACATTACAAGCAGAGGTAGCTCCATCATCTGCTCCTCACGCTCCTTAAACCACTCCCCTCCTGCTCCTGCTGAGCCCGGAGTGGCGTTTTCACTGTACACAATAACCACATCCTGGCTGCCGGACCACTCTCTGACTTCACCCCAGCCCTCACCCCTCCCAGCCCACGCCGCCCCCTGTCTGCTCCTGCAGCGTGCACCTCACTACTGTACTACACCATATATCACTTTCATACTCTCCTGACACCTATTTGCTGCCGTCGTCAAATCCCACAGCCCCATCATTATCCGGGCAATTCCATTCAAACCCCCCACCTCTACCACCACCACCACCACCACCATCAGCAGCAGCAGCAGCAGCAGCAGCAACAGCAGAGCTGCATTTC